TCATCAGAACTGTTATCCAACTCCCCCAGCAGAGCGAGTAACAGAAAACCTTTGCGTCCGTGATTAAAAATGTTCATATCCATTACTTAAGTCAGACTTATAATTAATTAAGATCAATCACCTCATAATCACAGGTAGATTAGACTAATTATTATAATTAATATGGTTAGAACCACAATCAATCCATTAAGTAATTCACAGTTTAATTAGGAATGTTATAGTTACAATATCATATAAAAATATAAGTTTATGATTATAATGTATCAATAAATGAGTAAACACATTTAAATTTATAAGTGAATCATTAAAAAAAATGATTATATAATAATATATCATAATTATAAATTATAATATTATTTGATATTATAATTATATATATTTTTTTGAATAAATTTGTAAGTGATTGGATTCGAACCGTTGTTCTGAAGAAGAAGAATGCACTTATACATGACCTGATGATACTAAACCCAAAGGCCCAAGTACATATTATTTTAATTAACTATTTTCATATATGAACACCATGACTATAGTTGTGATGTTTCTATACATACGACCTTATATTAATTAATATGATGATCAAATTGAAATTCCTCGCGTAATCGTTAAGCAGTCAACATTCATTGAGAAAATAATAGAGATTCTTGCATTAAGATGATTAAGTAGGTTGAAATATTGGTCTCCACACTCTATGCAGCTTGAAAAAACTTAATGATTGACTGCCCAGAACCCAGGTGGAAGCTGGATGCACAGCCCATCTTCCCTTTCATGCATGTGATTGCCGTTTTACAATTTTCGAAATTATATTCAATCTAGATGAAAGAACTAATTTCAAAATATGCATAATTCAGTGTAAGAACACTTTAATCGTGCGACGTAGACATGTTCTTCCAACTATTTTGATAAATGTGAACTACATTTTGTTTTGAACCAGTATAATTTAGAGTAAAAAAATAAAAAATTTTAATATAATAGCACCGTAATTTAAATTTTAATTATTAGTAAAATATTAAATATATTTAATAATTAATTGATGAGATATTTGTCTCAAGTTTGTTTTTTTTTTTAAAAAAAATAATTAATGTGTTTCATTATTAATGTGACATATGATCGTTAAATAAGTATTTTTTATTATTAAATAAGTATTTTTCATCGTTAAATAATAAATATATTAATTATTTTTTATATAAAAAAATTAATTTAAAATAAATTAATAAATAATAATGATCAAATTAAAAATTTATATAATAATTTAAAAACTAAATTAAGAGTTTATTTTTTTTTTTAAAGTAGGTTTCCATTTAAAAAAAAAAAATTTAACTCTGATCTTAAAATTAAAAGATATATTTTACAATAAAACATATATATACATATTAGATGACGAAGTCTACTTGGTCTAGGTGCCAAATGTGAACTACTTCGGAGGAAGGTAAATGTATATTTCACATCATTAATTTTTCATTGATGAAGCAACCATTGATGGCTAGAAATCAAGCCTACCTGTCCATACAGGTGGAATCTCCAATCTTAAGGGGATAATCCCTAGGACTTTACTTCCCATCAATCATTTCAGGGTCTCCAGCCACCTTGATTCATGTGACCCAGAGTAGTCTTCCCAGTTACCCCTTTTCAAAACCTACGTTTTTGGGGTTCGTTAAAGTCCCATTGTAGACTCTAGTCTACTCTACGTACAAAACTAGAATTTTTTATAATTGGTAATTTGGTATAATGGTAGTCGAATAATGGTAGGGGCCTGGACTGTAGGGAAGTGGATCTGGCTTATTATATACATGGGATCCACTTAGATATGGTAGCTAAGGGTTGCTTTGAAGTTTGATGCTTCCACCTACTAAAAAAAACTTGACTTCCTCCTCGCATCCTAAATTCTGTTATTCAATTGCTTATAGTTTTTTTTATTTAATTTACTGTTAATTGTTACTTGATATACCCCTTAATCTCATAATTTAATAATTATATATTTTATCATAAGATGTATTTTTAAGTTAAAATTAAAATTAAAACCTTTTTTCCTTTCAAATTATAATCCATTCAAAGAAAATTGCTATTGGATAGTACTACAACTCTTTGTATGGTCATGTTTAATTCAAGTTTTTTTCAAAAGAAAAATCTAGAAAACGAAACCTTGCATTAAAAATAAAAAAAAAATCTAATACTGTGCAAATATATTTCACTGTACATGTCAAATTTGTAGCGCTAATAGGGCTTCAATGGGTGAGCAAATGATAATGGATGAAGAATAAGGCAAACATTCAAAGGACCCTCGTGCCAGTCACGTGCTTTTCGTCTTCGGACAAAAGACAGCTGCCAAACAAACCCTCCTGTCGCCTCTCTCCGCCCCCCTTCATGTGCTGTATGTGTTACACACATGGCTTCTTCCCACTTGACACTGTTCTGCCCTGGCAATGTGGTGTGGAGGAATCAAAATGGCAACGGGTGCCTTCCAGTGCAGAACCCCTGTTTGGATTAGATATCTTCATGCTAATGAAAAAAATCACATATCCAAAATAGCTTTACAAATTCATACTACTAATTAGATTTATTCTATCATAAACAGTGTATTTCAAATCAAAACTTTAATCACGGTCAATTTACTACCTAATTTGGTTTGATGTGAATGACTAAGTTTCAAAATACACGTAAAGTATCTTAAAAACACTTTTATCATTAGAAAAATGAAAAAATGCTTATTAGTTAAACTTTTAAAAAATTAAAAAGAAAAACACCCGAAATTATATTATTTTAATAAATTTTTATTAAAAAAATAAAATAATATAATTTTTAAAAAAAATAAAAATATTTTAATTATTTTTTAAATATATATTTTTTAAAATAATATAATATTAAATAATTTTTCTTTTAATTTTGTAAATATTCAATTGATGAATACTATTCTCTTAAATAAAAGCTGTCAATCACATAACTTTGCGAAAATCTTGTTAGGTTCATCTAAGAGTAGCATTAAAGACATGAAATTCTTTGATAGAATCCAGTCAACTGAATCATCGAATTATTATCATCAACACGATTTGTCCCTTCAAATTTTGAGAACCATCAAATTTGTGAGCATCTTTTGACTAAGAAATACTTATCTGTTTTCAGTATTTTCACAAATGGACCAATTCATTAGCTTTTTACATGAGCTTGGTGGGCCGTATCATAAGAACTTTCACTTCCAGGTGTTGTCAGATTCTATTCTGGCTGCTAGCTCTAACTAAAGCAGATCGGCTCTAGCTCTTTCAGCCTTTACGACATTTACTAGTCTTTTCCTAGTTTTTGTAGGGAAAATGAGTGTATAGTACGTCCAGCTTTATAAGCATGGAGAAGAGGAGTTGAAAGTTGGAAAAATGTCATTAGGAAAGGTGAAATATTAAAGAAAAGGGACACACTTTCTTAATTTCTCCATATCTTTAAACCTAAAAATCTCTTTTGCTTGCTTTTACATCTTTTTGCCTAGCTTTCAGCCAATTTCATACTTGCTTTTCTCTGTTTGCCTTGCAATATGTGACTTGGGATTTTTTAATTCTTCGTGTGGGTAATGTCGATGATTGTTTAGGGCAAATGATACCAGATCCCCTAAATTTGCCCATACTATCAAAATAGTCTCCTAACTTCAAATTTTTCTTAATCAAGTTTTAATATCCACCAATCCACAGTTGAAATGTGGCTCTGGTTACATCGATCTTGGGAATAATTTCACTTGTCACATTCTATGACTTTGCTTTTTGTAGATTATTTTTTTTTAAACAACTTTAAGATTTGGGGACGAATCACTTGGGTCCAAAGGCTCGGTTAATGCTTGTTGTAAATATTTGATTTTTTAATTTAAGGATAATTATATTTTGCATGACTATAGGGAAACAAATGAGTGGCTGATGCACTAATTGAACATGATGCATCAATGGAGAAGCATTCTATTGTTTTTTATTCTATTAATGTATTTTGTCCTTCTAGTTTCTCCCACAATTGGGATGGTTGTTTAGTGTATCTGACCAACTTTGGTTGATCTTATTTGATTAATGATATTTCCCAACCCCCAAAAAAAATAAAAAAAGGTTAAAAGTTAAAACTAGTATTGAAGGTAGGGGACTTCATTTAAAAAATCTAAAATTGACGTACCAATCGGAAAATGAAAATAGAGTTGAAAAATGCGCGTGATCTCGTGTAGTGAAATGGCTAGCTAAGAGTAGCTGATGTGAAGTCCATTTTTGTCCTCAAGCATATGATCAGTTTCTCTACGTCAATGTAATGAAGATAACTCCATATCGGTTCCCTCCTTTACTATTTTGCTTTTCCTCTGAATTCTGGTTTCTTCCACTATCAATTGCCCTCTCCTTTTCCCAGTCCACGAATGGATTGGATAGTTTGTGGCAGACACCAAGGAACCCACAAGGAGACGCTATTCAAGTTTCTTTGAGTTACGCAAAGTAGGAAGATTCCTTACTTAGTCAACAATAGTGGATTCTTCCACTCCCTTTTTATTTCCTCTTTTGTCTTCTTCCCCCAATCTCCATTGCTCGACCTAAACACCCTAAATGTGAAAGTTTTAACTCTAAACTCTTGCAATATGTTTCAATAAGACACCATCATTTTAGAGATAAACTAATGGGTTGTGATCTTACAGTTTGAATTGCAAAATCACAATTTAGGGGCTATCTTATATTCCCATCATTTAATAATTTAAATTATCCAGTCCAAATTAAGTTTACGTAAGCTAATATAGGGAGGTGTTTGCTACTAGCAAAATAAAATGGGCGAGGCCCGATTGCAAACCCAAAATTTTCAAATGGGTCTAATTCCATAGAGAGGCCTACATATTAAAGCATTAAACCCACAAAGAAAACCAATAGATGGACCCGGCACCAAAATTTATTGTTGGATTTAAATCTGCCATTGGGCCTGAACTTAAAATTGAAATATTGGAGGGACTATGCCCAATTCAGAATTTTGTCCTCCAATTATGCTGTTAAAGAGGTACCTACTTCCTCTTCAAAACACACAACTAACGTTGTCCTCCTTTTTCTCGCCTAGTCATGGGGGTTCACCGTCGCCGTCGATTCCCAGAGATCTCGGAATGCAGAACAAAAGGACGGTCGAATCATACGGTGGCCGCGGACTTAGACGGCACGCTTCTGGTTTCGCGAAGTCCTTTTCCATACTTCCTCCTGGTTGCTCTGGAAGCCGGCAGTTTCATAAGAGCTTCCCTCCTCTTAGCCTCTGCTCCCTTTGTCTATTTCATGTATTTGTTTATCTCTGAATCTATAGCAATCCACACTGTCTTCTTCGTCACCTTCGCGGGGCTGAAAATCAGAGACATCGAGATTGTTTCCAGGTCTGTTTTGCCCAATTTCTACGCCGAATTTGTTCACCCGGAGTCCTGGAGAGTGTTCAACGCCTGTGGGAAGAGATACATATTCACCGCGAATCCGAGGGTTACGGTGGAACCATTTCTGAAGACCATTTTGGGGGCGGATAAGGTCATTGGGACAGAGTTGGAAGTAACGGAATCCGGTAGGGCGACTGGTTTCGTCGAGAAACCTGGAATCCTGATCGGAGAACGCAAAAGGGATGCCGTTTTGAAGAAGTTCGGGATGAATAATTTGCCTGATTTGGGTTTGGGAGATACAGAGAATGATCATGATTTCATGTCTTTATGCAAGGTATCTTAGTCTGATAACTAATCCACACACATAGGATCATAGTATGTCTCTCAAACAAAAAGAGTATTTTACAATTGGGTGTCTGTAAAACACTAATTATTTGATTAATATTTTGCGGTCAACAATAATGAGATCTCTTGATTGCCTCATCTCATAGCCACATGCGAATTGATTTCTATGCAATCTTTTTGTTTTTTTTTTTTTATAATTTGACATGTCATTTAAATAATTAATTTTTTTAATTCATATGAGACTTATAATATTAAATGCATCAACTCATTTAATGATATATGAAAGTTGTATAAAAAAAAAATATAAAAAAGTTATTTTTATAGCATCCTCTAGTCATATATAGTCCGAATTGTGAAATATTGATTTTTGAAATGGTATGTTTGCAAAACACCCTTTGATTATTGCCTCATTTGCAGGAAGCATACATGGTGCCTAGAGTAAAATGTGATCCTCTACCAAGAAACAAGCTTCCAAGCCCCGCCATGCTTCATGAAGACGAGATGGTTCAAAGACCAAAGTTTCTTGGTGCCTTCTTGACCTTTCTATGGCTACCAATCGGCTTCATCCTCTTACTTCTTCGGATCTACACAAACATTACTTTGCCCGAAAGAGTAGCTCGATATAACTACAAGCTCTTGGGAATCAAACTACTGGTTAAAGGACAAGAGTGGCTAAGATAAATTATGGTTTCATATATACTCAGATAAGTAAATAATACACAAATGGTTAATTCCAATATGGATTTATCTCTCTCTCTCTCTCTTTTTGTATTTAAGTAATTCGAAAATGAGGGAAAATCAAAATTAATACTTATTTTTGTTCTTGATAATAAATTGTATAATATATAGGGGATTGAATATATATGATTCTTCATTTTGGAGTTTAATCTATTATCTATCAAGAATATTGAATCCTCTATATTTTAGTTTAAAAGAATATAGAGATAGTGAAATGTGTTTTAATCAGTTTTATGATCAATTAAGGTGTGAGGAAAGCATGACTTGAGGAACAATTCAAGTTAATAAAAAGAAATGGAGTGGAGTAAACAACAATACTAGTGTCTGCAGTATCTTACAAAAATCAAAGATCAGGAGAGAAAAATTTCTTGTGGTAGTGGTAAAACAAATAATTAAATAAAAAAGTGACATTATTTATCTAACATAAATTATACATCTTATAATTATTAATAAAATATATATTTTTTAATATTGAGGGGATCTTTTCTTTATCATCAATTATAAAGTATGGAGTTCATTTCAAGACACACTACAAAATAGCTGGTGCATTTCAAAAGAATCAATCTATTTCCTTTATGGATTTGTTTAACTTGTGTTATAAGATTTACTAATTAAGATATTTTTAATTAATTTTATATAAATTTTTATATTAAATTCATAATTTTTTATAAAT